AACAGCCTGACAGCCTGGTCTATAGGAGACATTATCTCCAAAACAAAATAAATAAAAAGTAAACAAAGCTAACCTTGAGCAGACATGATCCAAGCACAGCATACTTGTCCAGTGACTTTTCGTTCTGCATGAAATCACCATCTCCTGAGATTGAAAAAGGAATTTTCCATGTCCGACAGCCCGAGCACATATCCTGATCCTTACAGTCTGGTAGGACTGTGTCCATCTAGATGGGGAAACCCTTCTGTCCACCCCACAGAGCTTACACTGAGAACTCACACAAGGTCGGTTCTGAAGCTCCATTGTGGCTTGGAAGACGTTACATAATCCAGCTGTGTGTGTGTGTGTGTGTGTGTGTGTGTGTGTGTGTATGTGTTTTGTAAGATAAAAAAGATTCTAAGTCTTTAGAGCCAAGCCTTCTGTAGCCCATATCATTACTGAGTATGACAACAAAACTTTTTAAATGAAGAATTGCTTTGGGGTGGGGGTAGGGCAGAGAAGCCAGAAGATGCCAGGTCCCTGGCCCTGGAGTTACGGGTAGTTGTGAGCCATCCAACGTGGCTCCTCGGGACGAGCAGCAATGTTGTTAACCACTCAATTATCTTTCTGACCCCTGCAGGGGTTCTTTGTTAACTAGTGTCAAGATTCTACTCACAGAACCCTTCAGACACCAAGTATGTGGGGCTTCTGTACCAAACCGTTTTCTAATCCACCATGGATACCAACTGGTGGTGCTGTCATTTAGCTATTTATGATACTAACCGGATTTAACCCCAAGTCCCCAGGCTAAGGGCTCATCTCACAAGACTGACCCTGACTTGAAGTATCAGTTATAAGGACTGGGTCTCCTGTTCCCTGCACTTCTGTCTGATTTGACTGAAAACGATTTCCTCTTCCTCAAGTTTGACCTTCTGCAGTAACGGCTTGTGCAACTAAGAGAATCCTTATTTGCTGTTATCAGTTTGACATGAGGATGTTATAAAAGATACAAATGAGGCTGGGCAGCAGTGGGGCACACCTTTAATCCCAGCACTCAGGAGGCAGTGCCAGGCGGGTCTCTGTGAGTTCGAGGCCAGCCTGGGCTACAGAGTGAGTTCCAGGACAGGCTCCAAAGCTACACAGAGAAACCCTGTCTCGAAAAACAAGAACACAAAAACAAATATACAAATGAGCAGATAAAGAGATACATACAGCAAGGTCCAGAAGGTCCCTAGTGCCACAGTTCTTTCTATGCGCTGGGGACACTGTCCCCTGGCATGTGGATGTGTTCACTAACCCCTTCGTTCAGGTTGATGAGGTTCTGTTTCATAGGCATGATTGATTCAGTTACTGGCCACTGGTAATTAGCTTCGTCTCTGTTCCCCTTCCTCAGAGGTCTGGAGAGGGCGACAAGTTCTAACACTGAATCATGCCGTGGGCTCTGGCAACCAACTCCTATCCTGGAAGCTGCTTTAGCATATAGACACTCTAATCATTCCGGTGATCCCAAAGACTTTTAGAAGCTCTTGTGGCTGAACCTAGGGCAGAAGACCAAATACATACTTATTATATCACAGTATGATAAAGTCATTTTGACTTTACAAGGACTTGAGTGATGGATAGAACTGCTACTTTATAAACTCCGATGCCACCCCCTCCGCTCGCCCCTTGACACCTGCAGCAGGTCGGGCCCTGCACCTTGCCTGGGCAGCACAGTGGAGTTGACCCTGTGGACAGGGACGCGGGTGAGCCGGCCCTGAGGGCGTGAGATCGGCATAGCTGGTACCACCTCCTTCATCCGTGGTGTGGCGGTGGGAGTGAGGGAAAGATGCCCCCCCCCACAATGCCTGAGGCAGGTGGGAGAGCTGGCCTTGAGGTCTTAAGAGCAGGGAAGTTGTTCCTGCCCCCCACCAGGGACAGCAGCCCTCAGGACAACAGGTCCTGCATCTTGCCTGGGCAGCACCGTAGAGCCAAACCTATTGACGGAGGTGTGGGTGAGCCAGCCCCAGAGCTGTGAGCATGGGAGAGCTGTTCTCACTACTTGTCTGCCATGTGTTGGGGTGGGCAGGGGAGAGATACTCCCCCCGCCCCCCACATACACCTGTAGCAGGTGGGAGAGCTGGCCTTGACGTCATAAGAGCAGGAGAGCTGTCTCTGCCCCTCACCAACTGCAGCACTCAGGAGAGTGGTTGGGAAGAGTGGCCCCTACACGTTGCCTGGGCAACACAGTAGCTGGCCCTGAAGGTGTAGGTGTGGGAGAGCTGCCCCTGAGGGTGTGAAAACAGGAGAACTGACCCCATGCCTTGCTGATCGCTGTAGGATCTCTACCACAGAGGGCAACCACAGGATAACCAGAAGGAATCCCAGTGAGGGCTCAGCATCAATAGTATAGCAGAAGCCAGAGGCCTCCAGCCAGACAGACCAATGACTCTCTGTGATGAACACTTGCACGTAAAGATATATAGGTGAAAGGACTGTGTGACTCACTGTGCCACATTCCAGCTTCCTTGACGAGATTTTTCCTTTCTCTCTCTCTCTCTCTCTCTCTCTCTCTCTCTCTCTCTCTCCCTCTCCCTCTCCCCCTCCCTCCCTCCCTCCCTCCCTCCCTTAAATTTTATTTTATTTGGGTAGGGGAGGTTGCAAGGGCAGAGGGTGGCTAGAAAGGAAATGAAGAGGATCAAAATGCATGATGT